ACCATATTTCTTTGTAGACCCCGACTGAAGGTGAGCGCTGGCGGTTACATCAAGTAACTCGAGAAGGATATCCTCCCTACATGTCGCCCATACCTTCTTGGAGACCTTGTGCTGCTACAGGTTTGGGTGCCACCACATGGAATCGAAGGGTTTTGGAAAAACTCCCGCCTACTTCGAATGGAAGGGCGTTTCGTACCTGATGAAGATGTAATATTGAAATATGTCCCCTGACCTGTACCCACTCATATACCTAGTTCGGGCGGAGCTCAACAGGGTGGTCTACAGTGGCGGAAGCAACGATACTCGCCCTCAACTCCGGTACCCACTTCACTTTTTCGCGCCGTGCAGCGAATCTCTCGATGGCCGCTCCTCAGCAAGGCATTCGGAGGTATTATTATTAGTATAATTGTCTCTTAATATGGTAGTAAAAATGTCCGATAAAAATTTAATAAAGTGTAACTTATAGCGCCTTGAAAGTCATGGAGGCAAAATGACTTTTTTTTTGCCCCCCCCTGTATACTCGGTCAAAGTGACTTTTTTTGCCCCTCCCCCCTGTATAGCCAGCTGATATTCGACTTATATTCGTGATTAGATCTTTCAACTATCGTGGCGGTGACTGCTCATATCCAATTCATATGGTGTAGCTTTATCCAGAAAACATACACTCCTTATCCCTTGAGACAAAGTAGACGTGGCATTTGAACATGGCATAAGATGGGTTACCGTTGGATATTTTAGTTTGAGGAAACTGTCATCTTGTGTCTTGGACAAAGACATGACCAGATTTGACTCAAAATGAAAATATCTCACCAGAAGCACAGACACCGCCACGTTTAGCTTGAAGTACGCAGCCACGCCTACCGTATCTTGAGGATTTCGAGTGTATAAGATAGGAACTATACAATTAACCACTGTAAACAGTGCTGTAGAATACAGTATGTAGTGTAAAGGCCAACTAAAACAAATACACTTTATTACGTCAAAATAAGGGATGAGGCACCCGTCAACCTGGAGAAATTGCACAAATCACAGTAATACAAAATGCACATTTTCGAGTCATACAGAATATAATGATCGCACTTTCTCTACTTTCCGTACATGAGGATGACAACGAGGTGCGTAACAAGGAAGGCAGCAACCATTACAATAAGACGAGACGTAAACTGATGAAGGAAACTGAGCGCAGAATCTGGAAAGAACAACATTAGGAACCGTTAAAATTGCAATTGAAAAACTGTGAAAAACTGTCAGTAATGTGCAAGAATGGGGCTGCTGAGTCTGGAAGGTATAAAAGGATAAAGTTTTCACCGCCGTTGATCAATCCCTTTGTGGGATGCGGCACGCATTCTACTTCCATTCAGAATCGTAGTGGCTTATTGAATGCGATGTGGCCTATACAATGACTTGCGGTGGCCAGCCGATGTACAAGTCAGTGTTTTATCCTCCCAGACGAATCTGGTACCAATTTACCGTCCCCGGAGGGTAGAAGGCTTGGTTGGCCTGGGCGGGAGTCGACCTGGGATTTGAACCCGGACCGCGCGAGTGGTAAGCGCGCACTTGTCACTACACTACCTCCGCCTCTTAGAAGGTATGCTTCCCCACTAATCCGTAGATTCTGCCAACGACTGTGGCATCGCTAGCGCATGCCGCAGTCGTTGGCAGAATCTACGGATTGCTGGGGATCATACCTTCTACATATCACAGCATTGTTGAGTAGTGTGCAAAACGCTTTGTATCAGCAGGGACTCGTATCCAGAACTCACGCTCTCTGAATAAGTGTGCTATCACTAAACGAAGGCCACGCGCTGCCCTCTCAGGGGTTGCAGATACCATAATTTATCTACACTCATCCATATAACGCGGTGAGCCGACTGGCTGAAATGACAGATGTAATACCTCCTCTATCCCTTCAAGACTTTCGTTTGACAGTGATCAGTGATCAAGAAAGAGTGGTTGAAAACAATTATTTCAAACTAAAGAAATGGCAAACAAAAAGAAGTGCATTAGTAGAAGATAAATAAAGCATGGCGTTTCAGGTACTCTCCCGAAAGTTACACAAATCACCTTCCTTCAAGGGCACGATAATTCCCCAAGAAGTGTAGGCCTAGCAGGATAGAATATTGCAACGCTGCGTGGCACCCTTTTCAGGAGTCCCATTACAGCTCCCTGTTAAGCTGCAACATACCGACCCGGACGCTCACAAATGTCCGTCCCATGCTAATACTCATATGGCTTCATTTGCGAAGTACAGTATGAAGCGAAGGGATTTTATGAAGCCGGCTGCGGTGCTGCATGAATATATGTGTACGTATAATACATACAGCCTTGTCTACCATAACGGTTACTGGCACGATACACCGGAGGCAAAATCCTCGCGCGAATGATATCGGTCCTTCCACCCTTTTGAAATTCATATCAAAAACGGATAGAAAACTTCTCAGGGGCTGAGTCACGTCACCACGGCCCAGGTGCCGGCACAATTACTACTGGTCCCTTGTCATATAGCTGTGAGCGTGTTGTCGACAAAGGACTGGTCCAAGCTAAAAACTTTTCACCCTATTAGCTAGAAACTTAGCAAATATTACAAATCCTACAACTCTCTTGTTTCCTACAACAGTTTTTGGAACTATACCTTAACTAATGCCACCGTCTTCCACTGATTAAAGGCAAATGGCTCGATAAATTCTCCTCCAACTAACTAATACTATGAACTAATACGCCTGACAGGACGAACTCCACGAAATCCCTGAAGCAGGCGCTGCATCAATTCCTTTTACAAAGGGAGGTGGCCTAAGGGCTATCAAGCCACAAACATTCCGAACCCAAAACGCCCGCCACGCCGACCGACCAGCCACAAATGGACGACCGTTCCTGACGCTCTAATCGATTGATTTGCTAAGCAAATTATGAAGCGAAAGGGGTTGGTAAGAAGCGCCTGTGATGCTGGGCATGGATATTTAAGGCACGCCCATATGCAGCCGTACTTCGGTAGCGGTTATTGGCAAAATGCCTACAGGAAACTCGTCCAAAACTGATTACTAAAGCAGTGAGAACAGAGGCTCTTTTTTTCGCAGAATTTTGACACGCTCCACTCGTTCTTCGCCATTTAACGCCACTACACATAGCCCCTATACCAGCATTTTGGCGCCGAATTACCAAAATAATCGTGCCCAAAGTGCCTTTTAAAAATACGAGCTTGTAGCCATTAACTAGAGACTACATTATGTTATGAGCTCAGAGTGCTTTTGTGCCCAGTAAACAGCAACAGAAAACTTACGGCTGCGCTTCATCAGACCTTCCACTGCTGTCAAGTTCTGAGATTGTAACGTGGTCTTTATGTCGTTCACAAAATGGGCACCATCTTGGAAGCTGAAACAATTGAGGCATATTTCGCAAACATACGCCTAACATGCTCAAAGAGACCCAGCAATTATGGGGCAGTTCATATTGGTGTGGCACCGAATGGCACTGAGCTAAGGTTTTTACAGATCATGTTATAAAGACCTGCGAATCATGTGGCCAAAGTCGCTCCACTACCCACAAATCCGCAGCACACAAAAGTTTTAAGCGTCTTGCCGAAGCGATATCTATCACCGAACATGAATTAACAAAAGTGCAAAGTGCCCCCCACCCACTCGAAGCCGAATAGCGCCCAGTTGTCTAGACGCTAAGCCGCGTGCATACAGGATTATGTTAAAACATTAATTGTGACTGAATGACTACGACCAACAGCATTTGAGAGATCTATAGAGCCTCTTTCGATAGAATGGCTTTAGGCTTAGTGCGACGGTAGTGAATTCCACTTCGAGCAAGAAATTTATTGGGACTCATGTTGTATTTCACCTCACTGTTTCTTTTCGTCGGCTTCACTATTCTCGCTTTATAACAGTCCCTTTCTATTTACCTGGGATCCCTGTCGGGGTAAACAGCCTCCTTTTAACTATAACACAAGATACAAGGAAAATCCCTGAGATGCGGTAGGGGTGGCTGCGTACCTGAATTGCACGTACGGAGATAAAAGGGGCTGAGTACCTGAAGGAAGATGGAATACAACAGTCACCTGACCTGATTCGCATCTGCAAATTACCCGCTTCGGGCGGAGTTTAAATAGGGTGGTCTACGGTGGCGGAGAAATCGACTATCTCGCTGATCTCAGGCACCACATCGCGGTCGCGTGCCAGAATCTCGATGGCGCTCGTCCAGAAGGCTGTGGCGGAGTGTCATGATAGTATTTGATATGCTCTTTAATATGGTGGTAAAAATGTCCGATCAGAATTTGATAAAGTGTAACTTATAGCGCCTCGAAAGTCAATGAAGAAAAGTGACTTTTTTTGCCCCCCCCCCTGTATATTATACCTGTTTTGTGTGATCTTGAATTTCGGCTCCCGTATGTGTCAGGACACTTGAGCCCTCCCGACCCAATCCCAATGCATCTTGTTTTTTTTCATGTTCGAGCCACACTGTGTAACTACTTGGAATAGAAAATGTCGTACTTACAAATGAAAAGAAACGGGTACCAAAGAAGAGCAGGAACCAAGGCAGGAATATGTTGAAGGTACTATATCTCAGCATAACAAGACGAACGAAAATACCTGCAAATTACATGGGTCAAATCCGGAACCTAAGCCTTGAATGCTAGTTGATTTCGA